TATATATATATATATAATATATATATATATATATATACTATATACTCGCGTACATCGCACGGTATACTTACGCAGAGTGATAACGCCCTCTTTCTTGGCATTCTCCTCCAGGTAGGCCAAGCCTTCAGCGGTTGTACCAGCCTGGACAAGTGCTACGAGGCACATAACTGTGAATAAGCAGATCTTTAGAATGTTCGTGGTCATTGTTGCGGTATCCTTCAGTGAGCCTGTTCAATTATTTATCTATGCCTTTTCTCTCTTTATAAAAGTAATATTTAAAAGCATATTAGGTATGTAAATAAATAGGAGTTCCTTATGTAACACTTTTTTTCAGGCGTGACTTGGCAGTCGAGAGGTGCACTGAAAAATCACTATTTTGTGGAAAGTAAATATTAAAAAATGAACTTGGTGTCTCGGTGTTAATTGTAGTAGGCTATAGTCTCGGTGTTTATTGCAGTAGGCTATATTCTCGATATTTAGTGTAGTAGGCTATAGTCTCGGTGTTCATTGTAGACGCCTATGATCTCGGCGATGAGGCATGTTCGATTGATATACAATGAAAAACGTTTATAACTTTATATACAGTCTGACCTCATTTGCGAATTAAAAAATGAACACAACTGCTGAACCTATAGCAACACCCATAGGGCCATCTCGATATATGCAATGAACGTAAACGTATATTTATATAAACGGGTTTACTTTTTGAGATATTCATAAGTATATATGACTATTTTTGGCCGCCCGTTGTAGTCGACAGGAAGTCAGGGACATCGGGCGGTAAATACAACTGTCTGATTAAATACGTATTATTTTTTGTACGGCCGTTACGGTCCGACCATAATTCGGCCGCACGACCAATATTTCTATGTGAATACGTATATTTAAAACGTAGCTAGTTTGTTCTTCCATGTAAAACAAGACAAGTTGACAACTGTCACGGAGATGTCAAATTGCTACGTACCAAAAAGTTGAAGAGAGTACATACCAAGATAGAAGCCTTCTTGGTACACATATGCAATGTGGCGTGGTTGTGTATGTTATGTAGTTTGGTTGTGGCTTGAGTGTATGTAACACTGGTGGTTAAGCAAGAGAGGTTACATAAGTAAACTATCTACACCTTAATGAGATTGTATGAGCTGAATATTTCGAAATGAAGGTTAAGATCAACCGATGGCGAGCGGTGGCCAACTGGCAATGGGATCTGGAGGAGGACGAGCCCTGTGGTATCTGCAAGTGCTCGTTTGAATCGTGCTGTGCCGATTGTCCAGAATACCAACTGCCTGGAGACGACTGCCCGATAGGTATGGTAAGGGGAGGTACATGTTGTGTATATGTGCATATGTAGAAGGCACTTGCGGGGTACATGCATAGAGACACCTAGTGTGTGCACTTAGGTGGCTTATAAATACTGTGTTTGCGCTCATGTGGAAAATAAATGATTTGTACACTGTACACAAATGGATGATACAATGCTATGTGTCGTTATGTGCGCGCGCATATATATTGTTAAATATGTGTCTTAGTTAAGATAAAGTGAGTGTAATATAGATTCAAATCAGTGTATCTCGCACACTAATTGCGGGAGAGTTCTTTCATGTACATCCTTGGGTATAAATATAACAACATTTAATTGAGTATAGAAATTGAGCTCGAGCATCTTTGTGTCAAAGAAAGAAAATGCGCAACCACGAGTAGTTTCAAATTATTATATCGCGGCGTATCGCTACACTGGTCTATGACTTTTCGTAAAGCACCCAGTCAAGCAGCCATTCTAATTGTTAGTATTATAGCCCGCACAAAATTATTAATGTGTCCATATGATTTTGTAAGGGGTGGACGTTCAGATTTTCACATCTACAGTCAAATTCAGGCATAAGCATACCCATTTGGGATCGCTCTCTGTATAATTTATATAAAGATATACATTTAACTATCATATTTTCCGTTGCGAAGTGTGAGGGCACCTACACCATATCGAATATATATATATATAACACACACACACACACACACATA